GGACGGAGAGGCCAGAGATGAAAGAAAAGTTGCTTTTAACCATTATTAAAAGCATTTTTCACTCTCCACAGGTTAAAAAAAAAAAAAAGGCCCGAGTCACCACCATTTGAAAAGCTAGATTTTTACTTCAGAAGTTTTTGAGATGATCCTCACTGAAAAGGAGCAGATTGTTCCAAACCGGAAGAGGAGGTTGACCAGAAAAAAATAGAAATCCCGGAGGAAATGGAAGAAGCAAAAAAATGTATGGCCCAGAAATGAATGAGGCATAAAATAAATAGAAATATAAGGTGGGGGGGGGGTGGAATGTGGGTGTTTGGGGCCAGAAAAATGACTCAAGGGGCCAACCACATGCTTTGCATTCAGGAAGCCTGGTTCTATTCCCTGGACCACATGGTCTCCTGAGCACCACCAGGAGTGAGCCTCAAGCTCAGAGCCTGGAGTAATCCCTGAGCACTGGTAGGTGTGGCCCCCATACAAAACCACAAAGAAAATCACAACAGAAAGAAAAATCTAGGTGGCTGGAGTGACAGTACAGCGGGCAGGGGGCTTGTCATGCACAAGGCCAACCCAGGTTTCATCCCTCGCACCCATGTGGTTCCCCCAAGCACTGCAAGGAGTGATCCCCGAGTGTAGAGCCAGGAGTAAGTCCGAAGACCGCTGGGTGTGGTCCAGAAACCAGAAAAATAAAAAGAAAGCAAGGAAGGAAGGAAGGAAGGAAGGAAGGAGGGAGGGAGGGAGGGAGGGAGGGAGGGAGGGAAGGAAGGAAGGAGGAAGGGAGGGAGGGAAGGAAGGAAGGAAGGAAGGAAGGAAGGAAGGAAGGAAGGAGGAAAGGAGGGAAGAGAGGAGGGAAGGTGGGAAGGAAGGAGGAAGGAAGGAAGGAAGGAAGGAAGGAAGGAAGGAAGGAAGGAAGGAGGAAGGAGGAAGGGAGGGAAGAGAGGAGGGAAGGAAGGAAGGAAGGAAGGAAGGAAGGAGGAAGGGAGGGAAGGAAGGAAGGAAGGAAGGAAGGAAGGAAGGAAGGAGGAAGGGAGGGAAGGAAGGAAGGAAGGAGGAAGGGAGGGAAGGAAGGAAGGAAGGAAGGAAGGAGGAAAGGAGGGAAGGAAGGAAGGACGGAAGGAAGGAAGGAAGGGAAAGAATAAAGAAAAGAAGGAGGGAAGGAAGAAAAGAAGGAAGGAAGGAAAGAAGGGAAGGAAGGAAGGAAAGAAGGAAGGAGGGAGGGAAGGGAGGGAGGAAGGGATGGATGGGTGGGGGGAGGGAGGCAGGCCTGGATGACTGCTTGGGAAACGAGCCGTTGAGATGCTCCCAGACCTGATGCAGAGGAAGCTTGAGCAGAGCCAAGGGCTTCACCCCCCGAGCAGAGCTGGGACAGGTGGACCAGCTGCCCCGCGCCCCTGTTTCAATGGGTTGCATTCCACCATCCCTTCATGCTTGGCACCTACACCCCCCCACATCACTCACCCACGGCTTGGTAGAGGGCCAGGAAGCCCCTGTGGAGATGGGGGGCCCGCTCCTCAGAGGTGGCAGGTGCACGGAAGGTCAGCCGTAAGGTGCGCCCCAAGGACACAAACTCCCGCTGTCCTGGGGGGTGGCCCAGCGGGCAGCCGGATCGCCCACAGAACCGAAGGGGCTCCGTCCCACTGGCGGTGATCTGAAAGGAGCGAGGAGAAGGGGGACAGCAGGTGTGGGGTGAGTCACACTGCTGGGGGTCACACCCGGGGCATTCCCTCCAGTCACCTCAGAAGGACCGCCTGCTCTCCCTTCCTCCTCCCTCCCTCCCTCCCTCCCTTCCTTCCTTCCTTCCTTCCTTCCTTCCTTCCTTCCTTCCTTCCTTCCTCTCTCCCTCCCTTCCTTCCTCCCTCCCTCTCTCTCCCTCCCTCCCTCCCTCCCTCCCTCCCTCCCTCTTTCTCTCCCTCTTTATCTGCCCCCACCCCCTTTGCCTGTGCTCGGCTCACTGAGCTATCTCTCTGGCCCTAGCATATTTTTCCTACTATAATCCACCTTCTTTCAAGACACTTTTTGGTGTGTTTTTGTTTGCTTTGAGCCACTCCAGGACTTGCTCCTGACTCTGAGCGATCGCTGGTGCTTGAGGGACCATATGGGGTGCTGGGGATCGGAACCCATGGCAGCCCCGTTAACCCACTCACTGTACTGTTGTTCCATCCCAGGAAATGTTTTTTGTTTTGTTATTTGGACCTTGAGCTCCAGCGGGCCCAGTAACGTCTCCATTGGAGACTTTGTTGTTACTGTGTCTGGCATGCCAAACACAGTAACAACAAAAGTCTCCAATGGAGACGTTACTGGGCCCGCTCGAGCAAATCGACGATCAATGGGAGGGCCTTTACCTTTACCTTTACCTTATTTGGACCACGCCAACAGTGCTCAGACCTTACTCCTGGCTCTGTGCTCCGGGATCACTCCGGGCAGTGCTTGGGGGACCATATGTGGTGTGAGGATTGGAAATAGGGCTGACTGCATGCAAGTGCCTTATTCACTGTATTCTCTCTCCAAATCTCCTTAACAAATTCCCTGGGACCCCCAGGGTCCCCCAGACATCCACTACGTTGCTGAGTACTAAGCAGGCAGGAGTGAGCATCCGTTTTGCTCACCCCTGTGTCCCTGAAGTCCATGATGGCACCAGTGACCCCACAACTTGCCGGGGTTACCCTCTGGCCCGGTGAGTCGGGGACTCAAACGTGGTCATAGGTGCAGCCACACATAGTCCCAGATGGAAGAAGGAAAGGAGGGAGGGAGGGAGGGAGGTGAGAAGGAAGGAAGGAAGGAAGGAAGGAAGGAAGGAAGGAAGGAAGGAAGGAAGGAAGGGAGGGAGGGAGGGAGGGAGGGAGGAAGAAAGGAAGGAAAGGAGGAAGGAAGGGAGGGAGGAAGAGGAAGGAAGGAAGGAAAGAAGGAAGGGAGGAGGGAAGGAATGAAGGCAGGCAGAAAAGGAGGAAGGAAGAATGGAAGGAAGGAAGGAAGGAAGGAAGGAGGAAGGGAGGGAGGAAGGCAGAAAAGGAGGAAGGAAGGAGGGAGGGAGGAAGGGAGGAAGGACAGAAGGGAGGGAGGGAGGGAGGGAAGAAAGGAGGGAGGGGGAGAAAATGGGGCTGAAAACATTCGGGGGTGGGAGTCTCAACCCTGTTACTCTGGGAGCCAATGGGCGGACGTGTGTCCATCTGTCCAGTCACTGAGTGTCTTCCCTGTCTCCCACAGACAATCAGGCCTCCCAAGGTGTTCAGACGAAGCCCAAATGTGCCCAGTGTGGGAGGCTGACTCTTGGGGCTCCGCCCCTTCCCTCACCAACTCGTCTTTGGGCCACCCACTTTGGACTGCCTCTGTGCCCTACAAATCCCTTCTGGGGGTTCCCTGACTCAAGGAAGAGCTTGGGGGAAGGAGACGCCACCCTCCCGTTCATCCCATGCCCCTGCTCTGGGCGTTTCATCTCCGGACTTCCTGGGCTTCCACCCCCTATACTGGTCCTCCGAGCACTGCCGGGACTCACCCCTGAGCACAGAGCCCTGGGTGACCCAACACTCCATGCTTCTACCCATGAATAAAAGAAAAATTTATATTTTACAAAGGATGTCACATCTAGAATGACCGCACTCGTGAGGGACATAAAAAAAGAAGTGTAATGAACTATTGTGAACTACTTTTATGAAAATTAATATATATATGTATAAAAGGTAAAAGGTAAAGGCCCTCCCGTTGATCGTCGATTTGCTCGAGCGGGGCCCAGTAACGTCTCCATTGGAGACTTTGTTGTTACTGTGTCTGGCATATCGAATACTCTCGGTAGCTTGCCGGGCTCTCCGAGAGGGGCGGAGGAATCGAACTCGGGTCGGCCATGTTGGCCGCTTGTAAGGCGAACGCCCTACCGCTGTGCTATCGCTCCAGCCTCCAGTCTTTGTATAAAACACAACAAAGTGTGAAACTGGACAAAGTGTTTCCACTACCCCTGGATAGTAGAAACACGGGCTGGGGGATTGGTCCATGGTTGGAAGCTGCCTCAGCTGCTGTGGGAGAATTTGGGGTAGAGAAGAGGCCACTATGGCAATGACAGTTGGAAATGACCACTCTCAATGGGGGGTGGGAGGGATACTGGGATCCGTGGTGGTGGGAAATGGGCACTGGTGGAGGGATGGGTATTTGATCACTGTATAATTGAAACCCAAGCACAAAAATCTGTAAGTCTGCAACTGTACCTCATGATGTCTCACTAATCACGGTCCTCCCGTTGTTCATCGATTTGCTCGAGTGGGCCCAGTAACATCTCCATCATGAGACTTGTTGTTACTGTGTTTGGCATATCGAATACATCACGGGTAGCTTGCCAGGCTCTGCCATGCGGGCAAGATACTCTCGGCAGCTTGCCGGGCTCTCCGAGAGGGGCGGAGGAATCGAACTCGGGTCAGCCAAGTCGGCCATGTGCAAGGCAAATGGCCTACCCACTGTGCTATCGCTCCAGCCCGTAGTGTAGTGGTTATCACGTCTCACTAATAGAAATAAATAAATAAATAAATAAATAAAAGAACTGTGTGCTGTGGGCTGGAGCGATAGTGGGGAGGGTATTTGCCTTACACGCCATAGACCTGGGTTTAACCCCCAGCATCCCATAGGGTCCCTTGAGCAACGCCAGGAACAATTCCTGAGTGCAGAGCCAGGAGTAACCCCTGAGCATCACCAGATGTGGCTCAAAAAGCCGGAAAAAAAAAGAACTGCTTGCTGAAAATAGGTAAACATGATAATCTCTCAGTATCTGTATTGCAAACCATAATGCCCAAAAGGAGAGAGAGAGGGGTGGGGGGGGGGGAGAGAGAGAGAGAGAGAGAGAGAGAGAGAGAGAGAGAGAGAGAGAGAGAGAAGGAAAGTGCCTGCCATAGAGGCAGATTTGGGGGTGGTGGGGGCGGGAGGGAAACTGGGGACATTGGTGGTGGTGACAGGCACCCTAAAGCCAGACCGAGAGCCAGATGGCAGCTGTGACAGCCCACAGCTAACATTAAGTTTTGACTAGGCCTAAGTTTCTGTTTCCCAGAAACTGAACTTGTAATTTCTGGTAAGGAACTTCTAGATCAGCTGACTGGTCATGAGGGGTCACTAGGGCAATTTTTTGGAACAACCAGAAACTGGCTGTTACCATGTCCATTTTTTAAAAAACTTTTTATTAGTGAGACACCATGAGGTACAGTTGTAGACTTACAAATTTTTGTGCTTGGGTTTCAATTATACAATGATCAAATACCCATCCCTCCACCAGTGCCCATTTTCCACCACTACAGATCCCAGTATCCCTCCTCCCCCCCCTCCTTCCCCCCCCCCCTCCCCCCCCCCCCATCCCACCCTGCCTCTGTGGCAGGGCATTCCCTTTTGTTCTCTCTCTCCTTTTGGGTCCTGTGGTTTGCAAGAGAGGCATTGAGTGGCAATCCTGTTTGGTCTATAGTCTACTTTCAGCACCATGTCCATTTTTGGAACAACCAGAAACGGACTAACTATTATCAAATGTTGACTAATCGCTGACGCCTATTGCTTGATCACTGCTATCATAGCGCTTGCTCAACCTTGGAACCTATATAAACTGCTTGCACTTGGAAATCGGGGTCGCTATCAAGAGACCGCTTTGTGGGTAAGACAGTTGACCCCAGTTAACTGGAATAAAACTCCTTTGTACTTGCATGACTGTCTCTCTGACAGTGTCAGTCACGCCATGACCCGAAAACCCGGTACAACAGTTGGAAATGTACCCTGATGGAAGAACGGGTGTTGCAATGTTGCAGGACTGAAACCCGATCCTGAACAGCTTTGTAACTGTATACCTCACTGTGACTCAACTAAAAATATTTAAAAAAAAATTGTTTTGCTTTGGGCAACCTGGCAGGCTACCGAATGTAACCTGTCCACACGGCAGAGTCTGGCAGACTCCCCATGGCGTACCCAATATGCCAAATACCAGTAACAATGATGGGTCTCATTCTCCTAACCCTGAAAGAGCCTTGAATGTGGCACTTTTTAGAATCTCAGGGCTAGGACGAAGGAGACGTTACTGGTGCCTGCTTGAGGCAATCGACGAACAACAGGATGATTGTGATCGTGAAAACAAAACAAAACAAAAAAAGGATGTCCTATCAGACAAATTTTCCCTGTCCCCTGGTGTCCCGATGTCTCTGAGTCCCTGCCTCCTCCAAACATATTTTTTCCCTCCTACATTTTGTTGATTTCATTAGACCGGTCGAAAGAGCCTTCCAGACTCTGCCCTCTCTTGCAAATTTAACTAAAAAGGACAATGTGGGTCAGCTGAGAGGCTGAGCAGGGAATGTGCAGGAGAAGAACCCAGGGAGAGAAGCGTCCTCATCTCCTCTAGTTGGAAGGTAATAGATGCGGTGGGAAAAAAAAAATTCATCAAACAACCATCATCGCCCAGAACAAGCGTGTTATTTATATACAAGGAAGTTAGAGGGGCTGGAGCAATAGCACAGCGGGGAGGGCGTTTGCCTTGCACGTGGCCGACCCGGGTTCGATTCCCAACATCCCATAGGGTCCCCGAGCACCGCCAGGGGTAATTCCTGAGTGCAGAGCCAGGAGGAAGCCCCGAGCATCGCCGGGTATGACCCAAAAAGAAAAAAAAAAAAGAAAGTTAGAGCCGATAAAAAGCTGCATGACTTCGAAGAATTGATGGTTCCTGGGGTTGGGGTGGGGGTGGGGAAGTATGCTGTCTTGTCTTTTTTTTTTTTTTAATTTTTTTAATTAGTGAAACACCATGAGGTACATTTATAGACTTATAAATTTTTGTGCTTGGGTTTCAGTTGTACAATGATCCAGTACCCATCCCTCCACCAGTGTCTTGCCTTTTGATGTTTGAGCTCAGAAGCTACACCAGCTTGGGGGCTGGAGTGATAGCACAGCGGGTAGGGCGTTTGTCTTGCTCGCGGTCATCCTGGGTTCAATTCCCAGCATCCCATAGGGTCCCCTGAGCACCGCCAGGGGTGATTCCTGAGTGCAGAGCCAGGAGGAACCCCTGAGCATCGCTGGGTGTGAACCCCCACCAAAAAAAAAAAGAAAAAAAAAAGAAGCTACACCAGCTTGATGCTTGATCCTGGGGTCATGTGGGGCACCCAGCTTTGTTGGGGAGGGGACCCAGGCCTCCCTTAAGCAAAGGATGTGCACCCCCATTTCTGTGGGGACCACACCCAGCAATGCTCAGAGGTTTCTCCTGGCTCCGCTTTCTGGAAGTGCTCCAGAAACCATATGGGATAGCAGGGATCGAACCCTGGGCCGGCCAAGGGCAAGGCAAGTGCCCTACATGCTGTCCTATCTCTCCAGTCCCCGCACTAACCCTTGGAGCTCTCTTCCTGGCCCCTGGCCCTGCTCTTCATTTTAAGTCTTAGAATACTCTGGGCTTTTGGGGGTGGGGGAGGTGGGATGGGGGTCACACAGCCCAGGGGTGCTTAGGGTCTGTTACTGGTCTGTTCTGGGGGGACCTTGGAGTTCAAAGCATGTGCTAACGTCTCCTGGTCCCTGTATTTTTTTTTTTTTGTATTTTTTGGGTTTTTTGTTAGTTTCGTTTTGTTTTCAGGCCACTTCCTGGCCATGCTCAGGGCTTATTCCTGGCTCTGAGCTCTGGGCTCACTCCTGGCAAGGCTTGAGGGACCATTTCTGGTGCTAGGATTTGAACTCAAGTCAGTACTATCTCTCTGGGCCTGGTCTCTCTCTCTCTCTCTCTCTCTCTCTCTCTCTCTCTCTCTCTCTCTCTCTCGGAGGGGACCAAACCAGGGCTGTTTTCAGGGCTTACTCCTGGCTCTGTGCTCAGGGATCACTCCTGGCAAGCTCAGCAGACCCTATGGGATACTGAGGATCAAACCCAGGTTGGCTGTGTGCAAAGCAAACGCCCTATCCGCTGTGCTATTGCTCCAACCCCCACCTTCTCTCTCTCTTTTAACTAAACACTCTGTACATGTGTTATTTTGATACAAATAAAATGGAAAAGGGCTGGAGCAGTAGCCCAGCCGGTAGGCGTTTGCCTTGCACGCGGCCGATGCAGCCGACCTGGGCGACCTGGGTTCGACTCCTCTGTCCCTCTCAGAGAGCCCGGAAAGCTACCGAGAGTATCTCGCCCGCATGGCAGAGCCTGACAAGCTCCCCGTGGCATATTCAATATGCCAAACACAGTAACAACAAGTCTCACGATGGAGACTTTACTGGGCCCGCTCGAGCAACTCGATGAACAATAGGAGGATAGTGCTACACAGTGCTAAAATGGAAAAGGTAGAACCCAGGAGATATGGTGCCCCACGTGCCACTGGGAGTCAATCCCCGCACAGAGCCGGGAGTGGCATTTGCTCGGCTGCTTGTGGCCCCCAAAGCGACAAACCCAAACGCAAAAGCAAAACAAGGAGGGCGCCACTGTGCTGTCTCGCCTTCGCTCCCTGGGGCCCAGGTGGCAGAGCCAGCCAGGTCGGCGTCCTGGGGACACACTTCTGCCTCCCAGGGGAGCTGGGCCCCGGCCTGGACTTGGTTTCTTCCCGCGATGCCACCCTCCCTCCTGCCCTGTATCCAGACCAGCCCCCCTCCCCCCAGAAGCCCCCCTGCTCGCTCACTGTGACCGAGTCCCCCTCACAGCCTGGCGACGGCGCCACGTCGAAGTCTTGGAAGGTGAGTCTCACGGCCATGCCCGGCGGCGCCTCGAGGTCCGTGGTGCTCTCCAGGCCTCGGGGGTACGGCCCAGGGTACCCGGGGGACGTCAGCCGCTGGGGCAGCCGCTGAGCCGTGAGCACAGAGCCCCTTGCGGGCTGAGCCTGGAGCAGCGCCCAGAGGAGCAGCCGCCACCTGCAGGAGGAGGGGGTGAGAGGGGGGACAGGTGGGGACACCCTTCGCCCTTAGCCACCTCTACCGAGGCAGCTCAGGTCTCTGCAGTCTCAGGAGGGCGACTATGCTCACAGCACCCCCTGAGATCTGGGGTCCGCAGGCCCGATGGGGCGGGAGGGCGCTGGCTCCCTCCCGGCTCAGCTCGGCCGCTGCCCATCCTGGGCTGCTGGGCTCTGGGGAAGCCCAGCTCTCCCAAGGGCTGGCTGGGGTGGGGTCTGCATGTATGTGCTGTGTGTGTTTGACATGTGTATTTGTGTGTGCTGCTATGTGTATTTGTGGGGCATGTGTGTATGACTGTGTAGTATGTGTAAGTGATATGTGTATGGTGTTATGTGTGGTATGTGTGATGTGCACGTGTGTGTGGCATGTGCGTGGCATATAGATCTGTGGTATGCATGCGGTGTGTGTGGTGTTTCTGTGTGTGGCATCATGTGGCGGGTGCATGTGCGCTATGGAAATGTATGATCTGTGGGTTAGTATTTATTGTCTGTGGTATGTATGGAGCGATAGCACAGTGGTAGGGTGTTTGCCTTGCACGCAGCCAACATGGCTGACCCGCGTTCGATTCCTCCGCCCCTCCCGGAGAGCCCGGCAAGCTACCGAGAGTATTCGATATGCCAGACACAGTAACAACAAAGTCTCCAATGGAGACGTTACTGGGCCCGCTCGAGCAAATCGACGATCAACGGGAGGGCCTTTACCTTATTTGGCCGGAGCGATAGCACAGCGGGTAGGGCGTTCGCCTTACAAGCGGCCAACATGGCCGACCCGAGTTCGATTCCTCCGCCCCTCTCGGAGAGCCCGGCAAGCTACCGAGAGTATTCGATATGCCAGACACAGTAACAACAAAGTCTCCAATGGAGACGTTACTGGGCCTGCTCGAGCAAATCGATGAACAACGGGAGGACCGTGACCGTGACCGTGGTATGTATGTGTGTTGGTGTACAAGTGTGTACATGTGGTATATATGTTTGTGGTATCTATTTCTGTGGTGTGTATGTGCATGGGGTGTGTGTGGTGACACGTGGTGTGTGTGTATATAGTAAGTGGTATATATATGCAGTACATATGTGTGTGGAATGTAGATGTGTGTGGTGTATAAGTGTGTATGTTATGCTTATGTGTGATATGTGTGAGTGGCATTCTGTGTCTGGAATATATGTCTGTGGTGTGTGTGGTGTGTGTGGTATGTGTTATATGTGTGTATGCTATGTGTTGTGGTGTGTATATGTGGTGTGTATATGTTTGGTGTGTATATATACGGTGTGTGTGGTATGTATGTATGTGTCATGTATATATGTGGTGTGTGTGTATGTGTGTGTGATGTGGGTGCTGCTGGTATATACGGTGTGTGTATATGTGTGTGTGGGCAGTCTCCTGCCCCCGCGCCTGGCTGTCCTCGCCGGGGCCCCTTGGAGGGGAGCGGGTTGAGCTTTCCTCCCCACCCCAACCAGGGCTCCGGCAGTTGAAGACCTCCAGGACCAGCCACCACCATGCTGAGACCACTCTCCGCACACATGAAGGTACTGGCAGAGGGACAAAGCCACGTGGGTTCCGGGGCCGAGACCTCCAAGCCTACTCGGATTGGAGTCGAGCATCCTCCACCCAGATCCTCCAAATTCCAGTAGGCGGGGGTCACACCCACCATCTGGCCCCCTGGCGCCGTGTAATCCCATCAACGGCCAAGACTCAGAGACTATAAAAACCAGCTCCCGGAACCGCGCGACATCTTATTATGACATCTCATTCCTACTTTGAACAAACTGGCAGGCTACCGAATGTAACCTGCCCACCTGCAAACTCCCAATATGCCAAATACCAGTAACAATGATGGGTCTCATTCTCCTAAAGAGCCTTGAATATAATCTCAGGGCTAGGATGAAGGAGATGTTACTGGGGCCTGCTCGAAGCAATCGACAAATAACAGGATGATTTGTGATTGATTGATTGTGATTGTATGTGTGTGTGATGTGGGTGCTGCTGGTATATACGGTGTGTGTATGTGTGGTGTGTGTGTGTGGTGTGTGGGTGCTGCTGGTATATATAGCGTGTTATGTGTGTATGTGTGGTATGCATGTGTGTGGTGTGTGGGTGCTGCTGGTTTATATGGTGTGTGTATATGTATGTATATGTGTGGTATGTGTGTGGTGTGTATATGTGACATGTATATGTGTGTGTGTGTGTGTGTGTGTGTGTGTGTGTACAGGCCACAGGGCCTCTGTCCCCTCTGCCCACCCCTTTCCTCTCCTCTGGTCCGTCTCTGGGCCACACTCACATCTTGCCGGCAGTGTGGAATGCTTCTGCAGAAACAGTCCCCAAGGTGGGCCGCGGGCCGGACGCTGGGCTGGGCCCTGGGCGAGGGTGGGAGGGGCTGCGTGGCCTGTGGGCGGGAGAACTTACTGGAAATGACTCGGGAGCCCCTGGCCTAACACCGGGCGTGAGCGCCCCCTGCCGCCTGCCGCTGGGATAACTGGGTTTGAGTCTGGCCCTTGTGCTCCCGGATAGCTCCACGCAGTGCTCTCGGGGTCCCTGAGGTGCCGGGGATAGACCCGACTCAGCTGCGTGCAAGGCCTGTGCAGCCTTTCACAGCCTCTCGCCTGAAAAGGAGAAGCTCCACCATGGAGACATCTCCTTGGGCCCTCATTGTGTTGTTTAAAATTAATTTTACGCAATGCATGCACACACACATACACAAAACACCCTCAAATAAATAAGGCCAAATTTCTTATGGATACGTAACGTCCACAGAGGCCAGATCCTTGTGGGAAACTCATAAACCCCACTGCTTCCTCCGTCCCTGTCCCACCCAGTTATGTCCCCAGCTGCCTCTTGGAGAAACTGAAGCTTGTTTGTTGTTTTTGGTTTGGAGGCCTTACCTGGCTATGTTCAGGGCTAAACTCCTGGTTCCCTCCTGGCAGGGGTCAGGGGACCAAATGGGATGCTGGGGATCGAACCTGGGCCGGCCGCACGAAAGGCAAGTGCCCTCCCCACTGTACTATCTCTCTGGCCCCCTTTTAAAGTTTTGGTCTTCCTTTTTCTATTGTGATGCTCCTCACGTTGTGCTCAGGGATCAATCCTGGAAGGGCTTGGGGGACTATATCAGCTGCCGGGGATCCAACTCAGATGGCCAGCTTCAAGGCAGGTACCCTCCCGCTGTATTTCTCTCTCTCTCTCTCTCTCTCTCTCTCTCTCTCTCTCTCTTCTTTCTTTCTTTCTTCCTTTCTTTCTCATTTTTTTGCTTTTTGGGTCACACCTGGCAATCTCAGGGGTTACTCCTGGCTCATGCACTCAGGAATTACTCCTGGCAGTGCTCGGGGGACCCTATGGGATGCTGGGAATCGAACCCGGGTTGGCCGCGTGCAAGACAAATGCCCTACCTGCTGTGCTACTGCTCCAGCCCCCTCCTGCCATAGTTCTTGTGTTCAAGAGATTGAAGCTTGTGACCAGGTACCCTGAGCCTCTTCCTCCCCGGCTTTGGCAGACCCTCACTGAGGGGATCTTTGGGTCCTTAACCCAGGGAAGTGCTCATCACCCATGTCAGGCTGGGTGGAAGCTGCTTCCTGAAGAAGGGGTCCTGGAGACAGCAAGGACCCTGGGACCTCAGGGTCAGTCCGAGTGGCCAGGCTGGCAGGGATCTGGAAGGGCAGGGGAGATGGAGGCAGGTGTGAGGGACTCCCTGTCTCACCTGGCGATATTCAAGCCCAGCATGACTCCTGCCCTGGCTAAGACTCTGCCCCACTTAGGGTGATCATTATAGTACTTTTTTTTTTTTGTTGGTGGTGGTGGTTTGGGGTGTGGTTGGCTTTGGGCCATATCCAGCAGTGCTCGGGAGTAGCCCTGGTGGGCCTTGGGGGACACTATGTGGTGCTGGGGATGAGTTTGGTCACAAATACCTTAATCCTGCACTAGATGTATTGACTGTTTTCTTCGTCACAATTCTACCAGCCACCAGGGCTACGGATGCTGAGATATGGCTCCTCTTGGTCCACTTCACTGTTTTTAGTTTTTGACTTTTTTTTTTTTGGCCACACCTGGTGTTATTCCTGACTCTGCACTCAGGAATTATTTCTGGTGGTACTCTGGGGGACCATATCGGATGCCGGGGATTGAACCCAGGTGGACTGCATGCAATTCAAACGCCCTCCCCACTGCATAATTGCTCTGGACCCAAAATCAGATTTTGTTTGTTTCTGTTTAGTTTTTTGGGGTCACACCCAGAGATGCTCAGCGGTTACTCCTGGTGGTGTTCTGGGGACCATGTGAAATGGTGGAATTAAATCCAGGTGGGCAGTGTGCAAGGCAAATGTCCTACCCACTGTACAATTGCTCCAGACCCAAAATCTGTTTGTTTGTTTGTTTGCTTCTATTTAGTTTTGGGGTAACACCTGCAATGTTCAGGGTTTATTCCTGGCTCTGCACTTAGGAATTACTCTGGGTGGTGCTCAGGGGACCATATGGAATACCCAAGGTGGAACCCGGATCGGCTATGTGCAGGGCAAGTCCTCTAACCCACTGTTCTATTTCCCCAGCCCTGGTCCACTCTGCTATTAGGGAGGCTCTGAACCCCAGGGGGCATATTTAGTGCATTCACAAAGGCAGGGCCGAACAGAGGTGACTGCCAGATGTGCTTCGATAGCTTTGGCCTTTGGCCTCTCTCTTCTTTGAAATGTTCAGTGATGGAGATCAAAACAGAACCTCCACGGGGGTATTGTGCCGCCAGCAGGTCAATCTGTACCTGTGAGGCGAGTGCATCAGTGGCCTGATGGCACCGTCAGACTTTTAGATACCCCAAAATTGCTGCTGTGCCTTTGGCCAGACCCCAAAAACTTGGGGCAAAGTTTACCAAGAAAGTAAACGGCCAAGAGTTAGGTATGTGGGAGACACACCCACAAACCACCTCTGGCTCAGCTATATAATTGGAGGCAAGTCCTGATCGGACTGCTTAACGGCCATGATCCAGA